TCCCTGATTAACACAGATGCAAAAATCCTCAGCAAAATACTAGCAGACCAAATCCTGCAGCACATCAAAAAGTTAATTTGCCATGATTAAATAGCCTTTATTCCTGGGATGCAAGGATGGTTCAACATATGCAAATCAATAAATGTGATTCATCATATAAATGGAATTAAAAACAAAAACCATAAGATCATCTCAAGAGATATAGAAAGAGCATTCAATAAAATCCAACATCCCTGTATGAGAAAAACTCTCAAAAACAAAAACCAAAAAACAAAAACCCAGCAACTAGGCATCAAAGGAACATACCTCAAATAAATAAGAGCCATCTATGACAAACACACAGCCAGCATCATACCAAATGGGCAAAAGCTGGAAGCATTCCCCTTAAGAACAGCAATAGGGCAAGGATGCCCACTTTTATCACTTCGATTCAACACAGTACTGAAGTCTCTGCCAGATCAATCAAGAAAGAGAAAGAAATAAAAAAAGAAGTCAGATTATCTCTCTTAGTTAACAATATGATTCTTTGTGTATATGTGTGTGTATGAGAGAGAAAGATAAGGTCCTGCTCTGCCACTAGGCTGGAGTGCAGTGGTGCTATCATAGCTCCTTGTAACCTGAAATACCTGGGCTCAAGCCATCCTCGTGCCTCAGCCTCCCAAGCAGCTGGGACTATAGACATGTATCACTACCACAACTGGCTATTAATTTTTTTTTTTTGGTAGAGACAGGGTTTCATATGTTGTCCAGGCTCATCTCAGGCTCCTGGGCTCAAGCGATCCTCTAGCCTTGGCCTGCCAAAACATTGGTATTGCAGGTGAGAGCCACCACACCCAGTCCAACAATATGATTCTATAGCTAGAAAACCCTAAATACTCTGCCAAAAGGCACCTAGGACCAAAACTTCAATAAAAATAAATAAAATCATTGTACAAAATCAGTAGCATTTCTAGACATTGATAATATTCACACTGAGAGCCAAACCAAGAAAGCAATCTTATTTATAAGAGCCACACAAAAAATAAAATAACTAGGAATACATCTAACCAAGGAGGAAAAAGATCTCTACAAGAACTATAAAACACTGCTGAAGCAAATCATAGTTGACAAAACAAATGTAAAAGCATTCCGTGCTCAAGGAATTAATAGATGAAAGAATCACTATTGTTCAAATGGTCTTACTGCCCAATGTCATCTAAAGATTCAATACTATTTTATTGAACTACCAATGTCATTTTTCACAGAATTAGAAAAAAATCCTAAAATTCATATGGAACCAAAGAGCCCAAAGCAATCCTAAGCAAAAAGAACAAAGCCAGAGGCATCATATTATTCAGCTCAAAGTGTACTTTAAGGCTACAGTAACGAAACAGCATGATATTCATACAGAAGTAGACATGTAGACCAATGGAACAGAATGGAGAAAACAGAAATAGTCTCATACCTATAGCTATTTAATCTTTGACAAAGTCAACAAAAATAAGCAATGTGGAAAGGACTCCCTATTCAATAAATGCTGCTGGGAAAGCTGTCTAACCACATGCAGAAGAATCAAACTGGACTCCTACCTTTCAACATATTTAAGAATTAACTAAGGATGGATTAAAGATTTATTTATTTATTTATTTATTTATTTATTTTTTTTTTTGGGACAGAGTTTCGCTCTTGTTACCCAGGCTGGAGTGCAATGGCGCGATCTCGGCTCACCGCAACCTCCGCCTCCTGGGTTCAGGCAATTCTCCTGCCTCAGCCTCCCGAGTAGCTGGGATTACAGGCACGCGCCACCATGCCCAGCTAATTTTTTGTATTTTTAGTAGAGACGGGGTTTCACCGTGTTGACCAGGATGGTCTCGATCTCTTGACCTCGCGATCCACCTGCCTCGGCCTCCCAAAGTGCTGGGATTACAGGCTTGAGCCACTGCGCCCAGCCAGGATTAAAGATTTAAATAGAAGCCCTCAAACTATAAGAATTCTAGATGAAAACCTCAGAAATACTATTCTGGACATACACCTTGGGAAAGAGTTTATGACTAAGTCCTCAAAAGCAATTACATCAAAACCAAAAATTGAAAAGTGGGATCTCATTAAACTAAAGAGGTTCTGCACAGCAAAAGAAACTATCAACAGCATAAACAGACAATCTATAAAATGGAAGAAAATATTACCAAACTATGCACCCAACAAAGGTCTAATATCTGACAAGGATATACTATTTATAAGGAACTTAATTCAACAAGCAAAAAATAACCCCATTAAAATGTGGGAAAAAGAAATAAAAGGATACTTCTCAAAAGAAGGCAGACAGGTAGCTAACAAACCTGAAAAATGCTGCACACAGCAAATCAAAACCACAGTGAGATACTGGCTCACATTAGTCAGCATGACTCTTATTAAAAAGTCAAAAACAACAGATGCTGGTGAGACAGTGGAGTAAAGGAACACTTAGAGCTGTCAGTGGGAATATAAATTAGTTCATCCATTGTTTGGAGATTTCTCAGAGAACTTACAACACAATTGCCAATGGACCCAGCAATCCCATTACTGGGTATATACCCAATGGGAAATAAACTGTTCTATCAAAAGTACATAGGCACTCGTATATTCATTGCAATATACAATAGTAAAGATAGAAAATCAACCTAGGTATCCATCAGTGATGAATTGCATAAAGAAAATGTGGTACATATATACCATAGAACACTATATAGCCATCAAAAAGAACAAAGTTATGTCCTCTGCAGCAACATGAATAGAGCTGAAGCCCATTATCTTAGACAAATTAACACAGAAACAGAAAACCAAATACTTCACGTTCTCACTAAGAAGTGGGAGCTGAGCACTGGATACACAGGAATAAGAAGATGGGAAAAAATGGACACCAGGGGATTACTAAATGGGAGAGAGAAAAGGCAAAGGGCTGAAAAACTACCTATTGGGTATGACTCTTACTACCTGGGTGACAGGATCGTTTGTACACCAGACCTCAGCATCACGCAATGTACTCATGTAACAAACCTGCGCATGTATCCCTGAATCTAAAATGAAAGTTGAAATTATTAAAACAAATTTTCATGCTTTCCAGCCTCTGTAAGACATGCCTGTAACTTTAGAAAAAGCACGGAAATAAACCAACTACAAGAAATTTTTATTTATTTTGTTGCACTGGACCTAGAAGATTTACCTGTAAATTGTGGAGATTTATCTTTTTTAAGGCAAGTTTCAGGGTGCTTCATAGGTTGTGTAACAAACACTACTTATGTCTCTAGCATGACATGTTTAAATACTCTGCTCCATGTTCTTCAGGCTATGCATCTCTAGAGTGGGCTAATGCTCGGAAGAGTTGTTTTTTTTTTATTTCATAGATTTGGGTTGGGTTTGTTTTTAACTACAGAAGATTTGCTTTTCTGCTTAAAGCTAAGTCAGCCTAACTCCTTTCCTCTTCTATTTCCCAAATCTTCCAGGTAATGAAAAGCTTTGTTCCATAGAAAAAATATCTGTATTGTATTTAGAGTTCTGCTTCTTTTAGACAGCACTTTTTCTTGGGGCTAATCATCACTAATTACTTACTAGTCTGTCAGAAACCTGCTTCTACCAAAGACTGAAAAGAAAGGGAACCAGGCCACTCATTAGTTTGTCTCCGAAGACCTTTTCCATCACAAATGTGAGGGTTCATTGCACGCTCAGGGAATAGCTCTTTCCCATACAGTCCTAAAAAGTAGGTTTTCTCAGATGCCTTTTCTTAAAAGATTCTAGCTTCAGTACCTTATATGAAACATAGGAAGTAGCTGACAGAGAATCAGGTAAGTTCAGGCATGTGGAAGCTCTGCTGAAAACAGTTATGCTAGTAAAAAGTAAAACCTTGTGGTGTGATGCGTAATCTTAAAAGTACAGCCCACTCTATGTGGAATTTTGTTATGAAAACATTCTCATTCTCCACCAATTATCCTTTTCCTTTGGCCCAATTTATTTCCTTAAAGTCACCCAGACTTACAGGCTTTGCAAAAAATGCTATGGGTTTTATAATGAGGTGATATATTTTCCACTTACTGAGAATGTGCTTCTCTTAAGAGAAACACAAGCTCCAACATGGCTCTTGCTTTTTAAGCAAAGCATAGATCTTCAGGCTGCATCATGAAAAAGTCGATATCATTTATGCAATGCAAGTACATGTGCCTATGGTTGATGTCTATTATGAAACAGTGATTCAGTGCCATATATGTTCATTTGGTGATTTATGATTACTTTTAGGTAAAAGAACTACCAGAAATGAAAAAAGCCAGTATTCACTGAATTCATCACAGTTACAATGAATAACTGAAGCAACAGAAAGAATAGTTATATTTAACATACCATTTTAAATAAATTTTGGAAGCGGGGCCTGGGGGATGGTCATTCTGTGGCTGGAATGGTTTTTGGGCTCTCTCTCTCTGTTTATCCAACTATCTGTTCTTTTGTGTTTTCCTTGGTCGTTGGTGATGAGTGCACAGCATTTCAGAGTCATCCTCTGCTAAGGCAGCACATTTATAAGTATCTGTAGATTAACATTAGCACCCGGAACATCTGCAGAAGGGGGTTCTTCCTAGTACCATACCGCTCCAAGTGATGGAGAACTTCTTACATAGTAAGACTTCTGTATTGTATTTAGACTTCAGTTTCTTTTAGATAACATTTTTTCTTTGGACTGATCAGCACAAATTATCAATGAGTTCCCTAACTGAATAGGTTTTTGGTACCACAAAAGACAGCAGATACCACACATTGCAAATGAATGAATCTAAATTTTACGAAGTGGGCAACCTCTTACCCCACTCAGATCCTCAATTTTAAGTTCTCAGAAAATAATTTCTTTTTGTTGTAGCTTATCTTCTGGTTCCTCCAACCTCTTTCAATTTATGTATTCACATTGTGACACTTATTATTTATTCAGAATGAATCACTGGCCAGTTGCACAGAGAAAGGCAAGAGCCATTAATCAATGCAAACCAAAGTCAGAAGTTTACCTTAGTTCCTTGAAGGGGTCTGCCCTGACATTAGGTGTTTCTATAGATTTAGGGAACACTGTGCCCTCCGCTCCTGTAAACAAAAGAGAAAAGCAAACAGATTGGAGATACTGGAGTCACCTGGAGGCACAATCAGCACACTGACTGAAGCTAAATTCAGCACATCCATAACACAACCCAATATCCACATATTTTTCCACTGGCTTTGGGCTCTATGATAGGAAAGCATTAAATCACTCATGCAAACGGCCTTTGGAAAAACAAGGAACTTCTTTTAAAAGCATTCTTGCTGAGATCAGAGTGAGGCAATGAGGCAAATTCCATCTCGGCTTCAGAAAGGAAAAGATGCCTAGAAATGGTAAGATCTGACTCTTGTCTCTCAGAAACTATTAATAGTCACCCAACTGGAAATGTTTTGAAAAACAGCAACCAAATCTCTCTTATTGCAATGCATGGCACAAATCACCTAACACGTATGACATCTACACAGTGGGTTAGATGGTAGAAGAGTGAAGTATTTGCCTAATGACAAGCACAAGTTTTTCAGTAAATAAAGTTCTACATTATCATCTTGAAAAGTTAAGCAAAACAGAACACTATGAGAGATCATTTGAAGTTCAGAGTTTTTCCACTTTGAGTATTAACATTGATCTCAAACCCAATCTGGACATTTAGTTCTTGACTGGGCTATAAGCTTTTATCTTTACAACTTGTCAATACCAGCTGAACCTTTGCAGCCATAAAGATAGCGATTATCTGATTTGTCTGCTCCCAAAGTGTTTTCAAATCATTTAAGCCTCAGTTTATCACAGACAATTGTACTGGATATTAGTTTTTCAATTAAACTTAGCTGAGGCAGCATCCTGTGCTTTGAAGTAAAAGTTGTTTCTTTTATACATTTGATGTACTTTGATGCTGTAAGTAGGGAAGAGTATCTTCCTTCCATGTCTGAATTTCTAGAATCCTCTTACATTGTTATAATATCTAGAAATGCTCCATTACATTAGACAAAGAACATGCTTTTGAATGGTGTGGTGTTCTGTCAACGAGATCTTAAGCACAGTGTGGGCAGGGACAAGGTCTTATGTGGTATATAGGCAGACTGACTTTAGGTTCCAAAGGCTTCTACTGGCCTAATTTCCAACTGGTACTGATGCTTCTATGGGAGTACTAAATTATTACTTTCTCAATGCCAGGCTAAGCTGGTGCCCACTGAATGGCAACCCAGCAAAATCTAGAGGGATAGGCTCTGACAGATAGAGGTGGCAAATGATTGACAGGCTTTGGATGTAGGAAGGAAGTAAAGAACAAATGCTCACGCTCCATCAGCTAACACCATCCAACCAAAAACTCTTTGATTATGTTTTTGCTGGGCTTTGGCCAATGAGGGGGTCCATATGTTCCACATACTGGAGAACAAGACTCATTGGTAAGACTTCCAAGGGGAAGATTTCAAAGCCACTCATTAGCTGAGTGACCTTGGGCATGAAGTTCAACCTCTGTGATACTCAGTTTCCCTCTCTCAAAAGAGAGGGTGTTGATAGTACCCTTATCTCCTAGGGATCTTGGAAGACTGAATGTGATTTCTGGCACAAAGCAATCGGTAGTAATATTATAAAATGTTTATGATTCCTATTCATCTTTCTTCTGATCCAGATCTTCTATGACTCTTAAGAGTAATATTTTTATAGCATTTACTATAAACCAGAAACTGTACTGGATATTCCAGTTTTTCATTTGATCACCAGAATAACCCTATGGAGTGGAGACTGTTAGTATCTTTGAGGCTCTGGGAGGTCAGGAAATGTTCCTATGGTCACACAGCTAAGTGGAGGTGGGAGGGATAACTGAGTGAGGGGTGGGAGTGTTGGGATTTGAACTCAAATCCTTCCATTCTGAAACCTTTGATCACTATTCTAAACTACCTCCCTCAGTAGATTGTTACTCCTTTACATGCTCATCTTTTTATGAGATATGAGCAAATATCAATGTTTATACCATCAAGTAATGCTGCTAAATCCTCAATCACCTTTCTTCTCAAAACAATTCACATCTATAATGAGATGAGATATTAATGCTCTTCAAAAAGGCCATTTCTTTCCAAGTGCTATCAGGTTTCTGATTTTCACACAATTTTTCACATTCCCAGAAGCTCCAGAGTAGACAATCATCCTTCAGTATGAATTCCCCCATCCCATTCTCTCTCTGTTTTCTCAGATAATAAATTATCCTCGATTTTATTATTTCAAAAAGGTTTCTATTAAAACCATACCTACTGATTTCCTCTTTTGACACAATATAATTTACTGGCAATAGATGTTCATAAACAGTTTGAATGAAAAATCCATAAAGCCATTTCAGCTTTAAGTTCCATTTAATGTCTCTCAAAAATGATTTCATCCATGTGTTTCCATTAGCTGGTTCTCTGCCCAATAACTTAATTCCACACAATCAATCAGGAAATTATAAAGCATGTGACAGGATCTATCTAAAGTGTTTTGAATCACCATAAAGCTCAGCTCAATGGCTCTTTTCCTTACTAGCACAGGAAGGGGGTAAACTTGTCAAAACAAAAAAAAATCTCAAATGCACTCCCATAGTAACAAAAGGCCGACTTCTCCTCTCCAGAAAAGATATTCAAGTCCAGATCTCAGTTTCCTCATACTTTTCCCTCAAAGTGTCCTGGATGTCAAGAGAGTTGAAATCTAGTCCTTTCTCTGTGCTTAGGCAAGTCAGATAAAAATCTGTGGTTTTGGATTTCCCCAATTCTTAAATGAGGGATAAGCATCAGAGTTAAACTGTCTACCCCCAAATCTAAAATTTTATGAGATTTACAATTCTAATCTAAGCAGAAGATTGCCTCTAGCCACCTCTTTTTTTCTAATGAGAAGACAAACAATCCTGGAATATCAAAGGAAATTGTGAAAGATTTTCTCAGCGTTTAAGGGGAAAAAAAAAGAAACACACTTCTATCCAATTGAAGCTGCATTTAATTGGTAGAAATAATTACCAGAAAATAAACCTTATAACAGATAAAATGGCAGACAGCAAAAATGAAACTAACTAAAACATCAAAACTCTAAAAACATTGTAATTCTTTAAAACTCCAAAAATGGATCTGAGAAAATTACATTGTATAAAAAATAATAATAAATTACCTAAAACTATACAGATGTTAAAATTTGCTGTGGACTAAATACCGAAAAAAAAATTTAGAGCTGGAAAATGTGACACAGAAAAATTGAATTTGAGGAAAACACTGGACAAAAAATTACTAGGACAGCAACTATCACCAGTGAAATTTGATAAAGAAGATTTATGATGAATCACACCATACTGTTTAAAAAATTGATTAAGAATTTAAACCAGCTTAACAGAGTTTGCTTTGGTAAATTTTTTTCCTGATGAACATTATTAATATTGGTATAATTATGATTAGTGCTTTTATATTAATGAATATGAGCTAAAAATCATCTTTGGGTTTAAACCATGGGGCCAAAATGTTCAACAGATTCAAAAGGCAGAGTTAAAATATCCTATGAATAAGGTTTGATGTAAAAACGTAAGTTTTCTAATTCCCATTGCTTGGGAAAATATAACCTAAATGGTAACTTTAATAACAATAATATTTTACTTTACAAGATAAGGATATAGTTTTATATCCACATTAGATTATAAAATGGAGAAAGGAAGTCAATCTAGAGAATGGTGATAAGAAAATGGAAGAAAAATGATTTTGTTTCTGTAACAACCAAATACTGAGAACTCAAGAACCCGATTTTTGGTTTTAGTTTTACATATTCATTGCATGGCTTTTGACAGCTTTCTCTTTAGTATTATTTCTTCATTTGGATGAATTACGTAATCTTTATAGTTTCTCCGACACTCATCCCCCTGCCATCTCCTGCTATTTTATTATTTTTCAGATATAACTGACTGGATAAACTCTATGCACCAGGAGAGGAGCACAGTATGTTGATGAACTCAGAGTTTAATTAATTTAACAAATCTCTATCAAGCAGGAGGCTCTAGTGGTGAAGCAAAGAGGTAAGAAGCTCACAGTATAGTAGGGTAGAGTATCCTTCACTAGTGTGAGGATACTATAAACTTCACTTTGAACCTAAATTTAAACCACTAGTGTACATTAATTGGCTTAAATAACTAGTAATTGGCTGGGTACAGTGGCTCATGCCTGTAATCCCAGCACTCTGGGAGGCTGAGGCGGGTGGATCACCTGAAGTTGGGAGTTCGAGACCAGCCTGACCAACATGGAGAAACCCTGTCTCTATTAAAAATACAAAATTAGCCTGGCATGGTGGCACATGCCTATAATCCCAGCTACTTGGGAAACTGAGGCAGGACAATTACTTGAACCCAGCTGGCGGAGGTTGTGGTGAGCGGAGATTGCGCCATTGCACTCCAGCCGGGGCAACAAGAGCAAAACTCCATCTCCAAACAAAACAAAACAAAACAAAACAAAACAAAACAAAACAAAACAAAGCTAGTAACTAATTTCAAATGAAACTATACAGTAGGGATAAAGAAAAGAAACATGTCTTTGAGTGTATAAAACTTGATGTCACAACCCGGTTTGGCAGATAGTTTCCTAAAGAAGTGAAGTTTTGCTGATATTTGAAAAATAATTAGGACTCAACTAGTCAAGAGGGGAATGAATGCAGCAGTAGAAAAAGAGCATGGAAAGGCTTTAGAGTTGGGAAATTCCAGTTGATAAAGAAGACTGGGCCAGGCACGGTGGCTCACACCTGTAATTCCATTACTTTGGGAAGCTGAGGCAGGCGGATCATGAGGTCAAGAGTTCAAGCATAGTATGTTGGTGAACTCAAAGTTCAATGAACAAATCTCTACCAAGCAGGAGGCTCTAGTGGTGAAGCAAAGAGGTAAGAAGCTCACAGTATAGTAGGGTAGAGTATCCTCCACTAGTGTGAGGATACTATAAACCTCACTTTAAACCTAAATTTAAACCACTAGTGTACACTAATTGGTTTAAATAACTAGGAATTGGCTGGGTACAGTGGCTCACACCTGTAATCCCAGCATTCTGGGAGGCTGAGG